GGGCGAGAGGGGGAGAACAGGGGATTCTGTGGCTATTATGTTGAACTGAATGGTGTTGTAAAATAATAATAATAATAATAAAAAAAAATAAAATGGCATGAAGATAAAAAAAAAAAAGAAAAAAAAAAGAAATGGGCTATAGAACTAAACAGAATTCTCAACAGAGGAAACTCAAATGGCTGGAAGACATTTAAGGAATTGCTCAACATCCCTAATTATTAGGAAAATGCAAATCAAAATGACTCTGAGATACCACCTTACACCTGTCAGAATGGCTAAGATCAAAAACACTGAAGACACCTTATGCTGGAGAGGATGTGGAGCTAGGAGAACTTTCCTCCACTGCTCTCGGGAATGCAAGCTTGTACAACCACTTTGGAAATCAGTATGGTGCTTTCTTAGAAAATTGGGAATCAATCTCCTCCAGCAGCTACAATACAAGGATGAGTAAGTTGTACCCTCTGTCCAGGGGGTGACCACAGACTGTGCTGGAGAAATCAACAGCTCCTAATTTTACATCATGATGATAAGAATTGGATGGAAGGCTCTTCTCAGCTTTAGTGAGGTTTAATGTCTTTGAGGAAAAGGCAGAGAAATCTTAATACAAGAGATGATATATAATTTGAGCCTGAAAGGACAGAGTAATTAGGGGGATGCCCTGTCTCCTGTCTTTCCTCCCCTAACCCAACCTGCTTGTAGCCTATAAACATATCAGAGGTACAAGAGGTGGCAATTGAAGTTCAAGTGTCAGTCCACCAGAAGAATATCTCTCTGATGGATATATCTCATTCAAGCAAGGTTTACAAGAATACGGCTAAAGAATGTTGTTTGCTTCTGCTGTACCTTTGATATTTGATATTATGTATATGGTGTAGTTGATTACCCACTACCTGTATTATAATGTGTCTATTTTATGATTACATCTCAACCTAATTGGAAATTATATCTGTGGACTGTCTAGAAGATGACTCCTTCTTATGCTGTGCTGTCCATTTGATATCTATAATGTTAGCTTACATGGAGTTTGATGAAAAATATAAATACATATATATATACTATACAAGTTAGGAATTATATATTTCCTAAAAACTGTTTTATATCATAGCTCAGGCTGACATAAGAAAATAGCAGTATTTTCAGCTACTAAGACAACTTTTACACCATTAGCTCAAAGTAAGTTCAGATTAGATCAGGTGCCATCACAGCTACTTCCAGAGAAGATGATGGGATTTAAAGATGGTTGTACCTGCCATCCCAAACACATCCTCAGAGGAAGGAGTCTGCTGTAGTGTTTTCTATGACAAATTGTGCTTCCAGGCAAGCACTCCCTCTGGCAGTGTATCTGGACCAGTCTGATGCAGTTTGGGCTGTAGTGCTGAAGATAGCCAGTTGAGTACTGTAGGATCAACATTGAAACCCAGCTTCAGACACAGCCCATTGCCAGAATCTGGCTTGTGAATGCTGCCTGCTATAGGAACAGCCAGTGTCAGACAGAGAATCATCTCACCACCTAGACCTCCCACTTAAGAACTGAAAAGCTTTGTGTAGCTCCATTGCCTGGGGGTAAAGGCAGGACCCAAGTCCCAGGGAATGGAGTGCCCTACCTTGTATATTACTATTCCCTCAGTCTAAGTGCATGAGCATTCTATATATCCTTATTAAATGAGCAAGTAAATGATTTTTATTCAGAGTTTACCCAGTGTCTGTGCTTATTTTAGTAGAAATCTGAAGTGAGAACCCATTGAAGTCTGGTCAATAATTTATTAAGGGATGAAATGAGAATTACACATCCATGAATACAGAATGAAGTGGCACTGTTGCCTCCTTGTCCACCAAGAAAGGATGGGGAAAGCTCTGTCCCAGCTCACTGAACCATGGTGTCAGGAAACCTTCCACATCCCAGAGACAGTATGAGACCCTTCTCCTCCTCAGTTATATACTCAGAAAAGACCACACCCTATAAGGCTAGTCACCACTATATGACTGGCTAAATGGATCAAATCCCCACATTATTATCCATTCTTTTATCTAATTAAGAAAGTTATAATCCTAATACAAAAGTGTATATAATAAGAACAATTATCAAGTATTGTCTGGAGGAAAGAAAAGGTAATAACATAAACAAAAAGGAACTACAACTAACAAGAACAGCATCAGGCAAGAAACACATTCTACATGTCCAGACTATAGGTAGTTGGCAAATTACAGAGATTACTCCAATAGTTGTCCTTTCTTGGAGAGTCTAAGTCTTGTATCTCATATTCCTCTAGCTAAGATTCCAGAGGATTGTAACTGTAACTCTGTAGTCTTCAACCCCATCCAAGACCTGAAAAGGAAAGTAATATTACCTGAGTAAGCAGGAAGTGCAAGCAAGTGGCTTCTGAAAAACATATGAAATGACAGAAACAGCTGGCTGCCTGGACAGTCTCCCAATGTTTCTCTGCAATGCTGGGGCTAATAGGCCTAGAATGTCTGATAGACTTTTTAGAAGCAGGAAAATTTGAGAGACTCTCCTACCCTCTCTTGGCAAGTTTCAGTAGTCACTTTTCTTTGTGTCCTGCTTGTCTGGATTGGACAGTGTGCTTACTGTCAACAGTATAGGCAAGGGCAGTTCCTTGCCCAATAGGCCAGTTTTGCCAAGAAGAAAACCAACTCCATATGGATTGTCTTTAGTGCCCATCATTTTCTTGGGAGTAGATTGGTGTTGTCAGGAGCAATTGTGTCTCATATCAACAGAATTCTAAGTTTCCATTGAAATGATGTAAGTACAACTACATGGCACCAAGGTTTAGGCCTAATATAGGCCTGACAACCAAGTCCTTGTTTTCTGGAAGAAAGGCCTCAAAAGCCCCACTCAATTCCATATAACAATACTTCAAAGATCAATTAGGTTTTCCTTTCCTTAATATTTTGTTTTTGACTTCTAATC